GACTTTGGAGAAACTAAAAAATGATTTCTATCCCCTCCCAATTCATTCTGCCGCCTTGGCTTCCCCACGGCTGTCAGGAGTGTGAACTTCATGGAAAGGGCGTGCAGCTGTGGGAGGGAGGCCAGACAGCGGGCAGACCAATCAGAAATGCAGCTGTTCTTCCTGAGGGGAAGTTTAAGGCTGACAGCAAAATCTACAGGGCAAAGACAACTACTGGAGGTCTCCAAAGTAGGGGTGCTGCTTGTCCCAAATAGGCCATGTCTCTTAATTTGAGTGTGCACATGAGTGTGTATACTTATCCACACCGCCTCTGGCTCCCATGCATAAACGTAGGATCAGTCCTAGAATAACAAAGCTGGAAGGCCTCATGGATCACCAAGTTCGAACCCTCACTTTGTGAAAGAAATGGAAGCTCAGGTCACCATGACTAGACTAGGGTAGTAGCAACAGCATTTCCCATAAACCCTACTCTTCTCCACTGAACACAGAATATTCCATAAGAACCCAGCCAGCTTCTATACCTTTCCTTCAATAGCAACAGGGCTGGGGAAAAGCTGAAATGCTTATAATTGCTACCCCCAAAGCAGCCCCATTCTGCAGGTAAACGGCAGGGTGTGGGTCTCCCAAGGAGCAGAGGCAATGCAAATCTGGAAGCAAGTCCATTTTACACCCCTCCCCCACTTTAAAAATAGAACGGGGGCACTAGTGGGTAAATACTGTTAGCTTCCCATTTTCCCCTGCTTTCCTTGGTGTCCTGTAAGGCAGATATAGCAAAACTGAATAGGAACAAGGGTTTTTTCTTTGTTTTAGGGATTAGCTTTATTTATGAAAAACTTCTTAGGGATAAATGGTGCACTGTGAGCATATAAAGAAAGCCCCCAAATATACAATGGACAGAGGAAAACAACTAAGTTGGGACTTGTTAACAGGACTTTAACACTCTTTAAAAAATGAGGAACAAGGATTTAATGGTAAGAAGAGGTGATCCAATTGGGGGAGCTTAAGAAAGTTATGAGGCAAAGTATGAGAAATAAAAGACTTGGAAGTGTGTTTCAATCAATATTCTCCATTTTTAAAAGCTGTTTATCTCATACGACGGTACTTCAAAAAGTTCGTGGAAAAATAGAATTGAAAGATAATACGAATTCTTCCATAAACTTCTTGAAGTGCCCTCACATAGCTAGCCAGCAGATTTTAAGTCTTGGAAATAATAATTTTAGCAATTTAGTATCTCTTTACCTGTATGAAGAACACATAACTCAATATACTGGAAATAACAGTCTAAATGTCTCATGTCAACCCACAAGGAATTGTTTAAGAATAGCTGGAGAAAGATTGATGTAAATAAGAAGAAAGGAAAGGAAGGCTAAGGAATATCCAGAAATTTTCCTATCAGTAAAATCTATTAGTCTCTAGAACGATGCCCCAGGGAACCAGTGAAAGCCCAATCTTATCAGTCCTTTTAAAGTGCAGTGGATTTGGCTATTGGAATTATTCCATGGGGGAAACCCTTGCACTATGTCGGAAATGGACATGTGACCTAATGGGCTGTTGTTATGTTTATTATTTGCCCTGTTTAGCATTTCCAGCTTATTCTGTGGACTTAACAGGAATCATAAGAAGGGGAGTTTGTACATCAGGAACTGCTACAGTTAGGCAGTGAGAACCACGTACACTCTTCTACCAACAGGGGCAGGCTTGGGTTCACGAAGTTAGACAAACTTCACAAGGAGTAAAGGTCAACATGGTGTCACGTGCCTTGGGTTGAATGTCCCCCGAAAACTTAATTCCCACTGTAACTGTTGAGGGTGGGAAATCTATTATGGTAACTGAAAGGTAGGGCCTTAAAGAGGTGATTAGACTGTGGGACTGTGCCATAGTAAATGGATGAAAAACGGTGGTCAGGGGTGTGGTTCGAGGGCTTTAAAAAGAGAGTGAATGAGAAGTTCATTCTCTCTCTCATTTCACAGTGTGATACCCTGCTGTCACCATCGCCACCACGGCCCTCATCATAAGTGTTCCCTGGGCTCTGGATTTCCCAGCCTCTGAAAGTGTAAGCAAAAAATTTCATTTTCTTATAAATTACCCAGTCCTGTATTTTGTTATGAGCCACAGAAATGGACTAATACACAGGGGGGAAGTAAATACTTATGAAATAGTGATATAAGCCCCCTCTGGCCAGTCTGGCCTGATCTTAAAATGGAGCAATTCCCAGTTGGCCCTGTGATCACAGGCTCTGTCACCCCACCCCCTGGTTTGTGACTTCCAGACTCTGTCACTGCTTTCATTAGATCTTTATGTTCCTTCCACTCACTTTGTCGTTAGTGCTCTCACTTTCCCTTGCTGCCTTATTTCTGTATTAGTGGAGGATGGATGTCTCTTCACATACCACTCAAAAACCAAACACCACCTAATTTATTTTGAAATTTTTTGTTATTATGGCAAGGTAAATCTTGGTCTAGTGTTTTAGTCCGTTTGGTGTTGCTATAACAGAATTACCTGAGACTGGGTAATTTATAAAGAACGGAGGTTTATTTGGCCTACGATTCTGGGATGGTTGCATCTGGCACAGGCCTCAGACTGCTTCTACTCATGATAGAAAGTGGCAGGCAGCCCGCGGGTACAAGCAGATTACATGGCGACAGGAAGCAAGAGAGAGAGGAGGAGCCAGGGTCCTTTAAACAATCAGCTCTCGCGGAAACTAACAGAGCGAGAACTCACTCACTACCCCTCCTCCCCCAGGGAAAGCATTAATACATTCATGAGAGATCCGCCCCCATGACTCAATCAGTTTCCAACACTGCCACACTGAAGATCAAATTTCCACATGAGTTTTGGAGGGGACAACACATCCAAATTCCATCATCTAGCTGTTAAATTTACCATCATGACTTGCCCTGGGTTTCAATGCTCTCAACTGTAAAATGGTAAAATAAAACCATCTCTATTTACATCTCAGGTTGTCATGAAAAACAGGTAAGAAAATGAAAGTGAAATGACCTTGAAATCCTGAGCACTGTAGAAATATCAGGTGCTATTTCTTGGTTCTTGCCCATTTCAATGTTGCCTATCTTAGGATAAAAAGATTTGGGGACTTATATCTTTTTAATATTACCTTGTATTATACATCCCCTAATAATTGAATATAATAGGTATGAAAATATAAGAGGCATCCTAAAGATACTAGCGGCAAATAATATTAAATTACATTGCAGATTGGGGGATGAGAGGGAGGAAGAAGGATCTCTTCTGGAATCACTAGCAATAATTTAATAACTGATCTGTTCAGTTAGTTCAGCATAAAATAATACAACTGAGGAAAGAAAGGATAAAGAAGACTTTAGATAAAGTAACCCTTTATATAACGTAATCCTCATAACATTACCCCAATTCACAGATGAGAAAAATCAAGGCCCAAGGTCACAGAGTTAGTAAGACTGGGATTGGATATAAACTCAGATCTGCCCAATTCTAACTCTCTATTGCTCTACATGGAATACTTGACTTTGTCACAAGTTAACTTTGTTTTACTCTGTAACTACATGCAATGGATCTCATGGGACTGTGTGCAGATGATTCAACACAACCTAGACAGGCGGCACAGAGTCAACACTCACACGCCACTGCAGCTGCCACTTTAGTAATGGTACAAATCACACCGGGGAAATAGGCTCATGTGGTAGATACCAGTGTTGAAACATACACTTCATCACAGCCATTCTTTTCCACTGACTACCCAGCCCCACCTCAACAAGGCGTTATTACAAAGTTAGAAAAATCCATGAGCTAAATTGCAAGTCCCAAGTGCTTCAGTCAGTATTAATATTGAAGGTTGGGGCTTGCTAAGAGCATATCAGAAGCTGTTTTTGACAAATAAAATGTACTAACTTAACATTAACAACATTACCAAAGAATCCCTGGCATACTACTAAAGAGTTAGACAAGTGTTGTGTCAAGCAAGACACAGAAGAAAGTCAAAAGCCACTTAGTTTTTAAAGACAACATAGGCTTTTTAGTAAATCTTGATTATATTTTCCCACTAGTGTTACTGTTATTTTCCAGCTATCCAGAAAATACAAACCCCCCATCAGATCTTTGTAGAGTGTTAGAAATTTATACTAAGTGGTATTATTATAACTACAGCAAATTAGACTGCAGAAAGGCATGCTGTGTAACTCAAACACTAGATTTAGTTGGGTTTGAAGGTCAACTCTAGAGAGTTTGTCAGCAGAAAGAATCAAGGTTTCCAACCATTTCTCTCTCTCAGAACAACCTACATCCAACTGTTAAATCAGTTAAATGATAGGCAATTATGTGACCTGCCAGAATTGATAATTTGCTTCAGCGTTTATCATTAGCTTTCTAAAGTACATAAATTAGAGAAAATTCTCATCCTGTGAACACCATATTATTCTGCTATAAAGGGTCAAGAGGAGAATATGGCTATGGTATATAAAAGCAATAGAAATTCCTGCCTAAATCCTACCTCTGATCTTCCTTGCCTCTACCCAATTGAGTGGACTCTGCCAACTGGTAGAAGGACTGAACGGTGACCAAATTGTGGTGTGTTTTTGTGTCTTTTAAACAAGGCCTTCTGAATGACTACCTGCTGCTTATGAACCCTAAGCTGCTGGCCGCTTAATTTGTATCCTTCCTCTTTGCTGGCTCTGGATATTAGCCCAGAAGTATGAGGCAATGACCTTGAGGACACAACTATTAAAGGACAGAAGTTCAGGGTGAGTGGAAAAAAGTGTAATTTTAACAGAATCTGTTTTCTACGAGTTGTAAATCATTTACAAAGAGAATACGGGCTTTTCCTACAATGTCCTGGTTGGACGTTATGACATAACCAACTCATTATAGTAATTCTTGATGAGGATGACTAGCTGAGTTTATCCAGTTGTTTTCACATACATTAGCCCATTAGTTCCTCACCACTGCCCCATGCCCTTGGGCTTTCTGTTCTTCTGGTGTCCTGTTAGCCCGGCCCACACACCCACCTGTTTGGCCTGGTTGACACACTGCATGTACTGGCTGGCCAGAGCAGAGCAGCTGAGGGTCTGGTGGGTGTTCTGGCGGTAGCACTGGAGGATCTTGGCCTGCAGATCAGCACAGACTGGATGAGACTCATACCGCCTGCAAACAAACATGGGGATCACAGAGACAAACGGTCTTCATTCAAAATAAAAATCAAGGTTAAAGAATACATAGAACTTAAAGTAAGATATAAATGTTGCAAATGTAGAAAAAAGCTTAAGAGAAATAATTTTCTTCAAACTTTAAGGAAAGATATTCAAATTGTTCTCATGAATGTATATATGGTAAATGAATTCTACCAAATTAGTTCCATTAATTGACACCACTGCAAGTAACTCTGGACAACATAACTTTCCCTCCCAAACCCAAACCATATAAATGGTACAAGCACTCTTTAGCCTAGCCAGCCAAACCAGAAACCCGGGAGCCCTGACTTCTCTCTTTCATTCCTGCAGCCAGTTGGTCACAAAGTTCAAAATTCCTGCAATCTAGTCCTCCTCCACATTCACTTTCATTACCTTAATTCCAAGTGATTTACTTCCTTCATTCAAGCAATGACCTCCAAACTGGTCTGTCTATTAGCTTTGGCCCTGGCCCTCTATTCCTGTCCCCACCCGTCTTCCAGAAGGTTCTTTCTAATACATAAATCTGAGCCAGTATCTCTTCCTACTGCTTTCTGAGTAACATACAAGGTCGCCAGGCTCGGTGCTTCTTGATCAGTCTCCTGCCTGCTCTTTAGCCTGCATCCCCCACCCTGCTGCAGCCTGGACGGACCATGCTAAGCTCTGGTTCTTACACTTCTCTTTCATGTCTTTGTTCATGCTGCTCTTGACTTTGGAAATACTCTGCATCCAAACTCCCAACCACCCCTATATATCTTGAAAACACCTACTCATCTTTCAATACTTAGCTCATGTGTAACCTTCTACATACAGCTTTCATTAGCTCTACCCTCCTCTCCCTATCATTCTCTTTACAATGACCCCACTGATCCTGTATTAACTTCTTGCACCATGCACATAACACTAACTACACTATGAGGGTACTTCAAAAAGTTTGTGGAAAAAATAGAATTAAAAGATAACACAAATCTTACCATGAACTTTTGAAGTACCCTCATATAGTCTAGTACAATTTACTAGCCTACATTTATTAGAATACAAATTCCAAGAAGGACTGTCTTATTTGCTCTCTGATTTCAGCTATTAGACATGAATACCCCCAAAGAAGCCATGCAATAACTTTGTTGAATGAATACAAATGGGTGGAAAGAAAATATTTTTAAATTCCTCGAGTTAAAATTTTGCTAATTATACTTACAGATCTCAGATTTTAGTTAGACTGTTCTCAGTAAATATGTTATACCAAATGTAAATGTTTCCAAAAAGCTTATAATATTCACTTGAAAAGTAACAACAAAATAAACCAGATGAATTATACAAACAAAAATAAAATACTCTTGTTAATATGGTAAGGGAACTTGGATTATAAGAATCAAACACACAGAGAAAATACATATTATCCCTTTTAATCTAGGAATTCATATATTTTTTCAAATCAGTTTTAATACGAAAACCTTCCAGCCTTTCTTATAAGTTCTTTTTTTTTTTTTTGAAATTTAAATTGGTTATTTTCATAGTAATATTGAAATAGCATTGTTTTAAATTTAATGGGTCCTAAAAAACCCCTAGAGAACACAGGAGGAATATTTCTCAACACTAAGGAAACCCCTGGGTGACGATTTGTCTCCTTATTACTTCTATCCAACACACTAGGCTAACATATTTTGCTAGAATGGAAATGCAAACCACGTTACTGGTCCCTGAGGGACTTTTATTTCCTATTACCCTCTAAAGAAAGTAGACATACAGGGGAAAATAATCCCACAGATTTTACGTAACACTACTTTTGCTTTTCCATTCACTACCTTACCACTTTGTCAAATACCTAAGAACAAAATTTAAATCCAATCCCGGAAGTTTCAATTCTTTTAATATTTCAAAGTTCAGATGTCTGTGAATTTTTTCTAGACAAAGATTTCCCTAATCCTCTACCATGAACAACAGCATTTAAAAGGAGTCAGCTGTGCTTGGAAGAGTATAGGCATGGATACCAGTGACTGATTATATCAAGACCCACATCTGGATAAATACTGAATAAAATATGATTAAGCATCAGCTCATCTGAACCTAGCAAACACATGACTAATGACTCTAATAGTTCACAGGAAAGCAAGGTTATATTCTATCCTAGTGTTGACAACTGACTGTGGCTCCAATGTGTCCTAGACTCAAAAGCGGGAGGAAGGGGGGTGGGGAGAGAAGACAAGAAGCACTCTGACCAGATTTAAAAAAAAAAAAAGACTATAAAAGTGAGCATCCACTTACTGCACATCATAAAGAAGATGGCATATTTGTTTCTTTTAAAACAACTATTCACAATGGGATAGTTCATCTAATATCATCTAATACTATGGACTCCTTAGAAAGAAGTAATTTAAGTTGTATGTAAGCATTTACCCTGAGTTGAGCTATTAGTAATGGAAGTTAAAGTCCATGAGTTATTTATGATTTGAAATGTGTCAAAATATACTTTTATCACCACAAATCAATACTACTCACTTCCAAGGCCCTGATTTCCTGTCTGGAAGTCTGTTCTCTCTCTCTCTCTCTCTTAGTGTGTGTGTGTGTGTGTGTGTGTGTGTGTGTGTGTGTGTGTGTGTGTGTGTGTGTTCAGTCATCTTCTGAAATTCCTTTTGTACACATTTCAACTTGTATTGATGATTAGATGGTGGAACGGGAGTAGAGGAGTGGAAATCAGCATAATTGTCCCCCAGTTCCTGGAGCAGACTCTGGTACTTTTTTCTTGGATTAATCGGTAAGGGTAAAGCTCTGCCTCTGTATTGATCTGCAATGCTTATTATGCTGCCCTAATGCACTGTTTTCACCTTGGGAAAATACTAAATGAGATTACCATCTAACATTAGAAGGCCATAAAACACAAGCCATTGCACCTTCCATTCAGGAAAAGGGTTTCAAAGACATTTCCAATATGCATTATGGTAAACTCTCCATATAATCATAGAGTCAGCAATGGACTTTTATTGACTGCTTGCATTCCTGCTGATAGAAAAAGCTGCTGTTAAGCAAAAATAACAAAAGGCAGAATTTCAAGATACCTAAGACAGAAAATTAAATCTTAGCTCCAAAGGACATTTAAACAATTTAATTTCTTTGTATGTAAGGAAGATTCAACAAAGAAATGGTGAATGACAATGTTAAGAGAAAAATGAAATATAGATTTAGAGAACTTGGAACAATAAAGTGAAAAGATAGTTACCCAAAAACATGTTTGGTAAAAAGGAATTGGTAGAATAAAGTCAAACTTTCAAATATACATTTATCAAAAACAATTAAGAAAAAAATTCAGTTTTGTGGTCACATGAAATTATTGGGGACTTCTAATAGATCCCACCACATATGCGTCCCTCTCTTTTCTTTCTGTACCCTTTTACTCTCAGTTCTCATCCTCTTCCATCATTCCTCAAGCAGCCTGCCCTCACCTTACCACTCCCATCCCCCAACAGTGGCACATAAGGCTAAGTACATTGTTGACAATATGCAGAGCAGAACTGGAGTCCTAAAGATTTGACCAGAGAACAAAATCAAAAGAACTGCTAGGTGTTCTACAGCCGGTAAAAGTTTCTTTTCCTAATGTTTAATGCTAATATTCACTTAAAAGGCATCTAAGAAAATATATCTAAGTATTTTTCTCATTAAACTGACAGGTCCATTGTAGAAACTTTGGAAAAAGAAAAGAATAAAGAGACACATTTAGGCTGTTTCTAATTTTTCAGTGGTTAAAATAACATGATGAACATATTATTACTGACCATTTCTGTAACTGAATTAATTGGCCAAAGAGAAACGAAAACATTTTTGGTAAAAACGAAGCTGAGTTAAGCAGCATTCAAACTCTCCTCTTAAGACCCTATGATACGGTTATTCTCAGTTACCTGTTTTAGAACTCTCTGTTGGTAACACTGCTGCCTTTCCTACTTTCATGTCCTAGAAACTTCTTTGATATGGGTTGGAGTTCTACATGTCAAGGAAACTACTTACCCATTTTTTTAGTTTTGCTAATATAAATGGCAAGGATAATAAGGTAACTTCAGAGAAGGAAAAGTAGGGAGAAGGTTCTCCTCATACCACAGCCCACTCAGAAGGCTAAATAAATCGTGTAACGACAATCAGTTAGCACCCACAATTCCTAAAGGTCTTGCTTTATGAGTATAGGTATGAACAAAAAGGGTCCTTTCTCTGTATGAGTATCTGGACCAGTCAGCACCCTGAGAGAGTTCTACATATACTATAATGAAATACCAGAGAGAGGGAGGAGAGGGAAGGAGGAGGGACAGAGGGAGGGACAGAGAATGAGTAGCTGGTGTTAAAAGAATTCTGATTTTTTAACGGTTCCAAGAATACATCCTTCATGGGGTCAGATGGTCTCATAAAACCACATTTAACACATTAAAAGAATCCACACAGCACAGCCACAGGGTCAAATCTTAAGTCTAATTCCTGTGACACAATGCAAAAGCTCTAATTTTTATTCTGTACCAAACTTTTCATTAGACTTTTAAATCCAGTGGCCAGGATTTCTGCTTTTCTTTTAAAATGCTGAACTAAAATTATAAGCACACTCCAAATACTTAAAACTATGTAATAATTCATTCTTATTTCTCATTTATAATAAAGCTATCATAAAATGCAATATAAAGGAAAAAAGTATCTAAAATGTACTATCATCTATTAAAAATTTTTTCATTTTAATATTACCTTAGATCATAATATCCTAATATTAGTTTTCAGGATAAAATGTAAACAGCCTCTTTCTAACAATGCAAGATCTGACAAACTGAATTTCGAGCTTTTCTGACATTCTTAATAACTGCTAAACATTCTATTAACGATGTTTCTATTTGAGCTGTAATCAAATTTCCACAATTACATTTTAGAGGCCAAACATCTCTGAAAGTTGCCTGCCTTCTTTGTTTCCATTTGTTTTCATATACATTTTGAGATATAATTTCTTAAAAA